CGCCTATTTCGAACTTACGAATATCTGAGAATATTCTTCGAAAATTTGAACTCGACCCGGTAAAAAGTTTCGGAGCTATGAGCGTGCTTGTAAGCAGTTTTTAACTAAGTGTAATCGGCTTCCGAAATTTTAAACGCTTTTTCCCAAGAGTCTGTTTTCAGAGTCGGTGAGAAAAATTGCTCCGAAGCGGCTGGACCGATAGGCTAGAAAGTTTAGCAGAACCTTCTTACATATATATTTCAGGGAATATAATGATCGATTGAATAAGATTTATGGCAATAAATTCGATTTTTGAAGCTAATCTGAAGTGTACATTTTATAAATAAAAGCAATTGTAACATATTTTTTGGTTTTGTGATATCCAGATGATTTTAAGCAGAAAAGTATTGCTCATCGCCAGGCGGTGGAGGTCATACTAGATCAAGGGGTATAAATAAATATAATTTTTTTGTCAATTATTTATTTATATAGTAATACATCTTTAAAAAAAAAAATCACAAAAATGCCATTTTTGTATCACAAGTGGATAGAATCCTTTAAGTGAGCCCTAAATTTCGAGTCTTCGAGATAAAATTTCTCCAAAAGATAAATTTAAGTTTGCAATTAGATAATGGATACTGTCGTAGAAGATGGATCGCCTCTTTGAACTACATAACGACGTCAACATAATTCAGCGAATTAAATTGTTTGTCTAGTAGAGCATGTCGGCCGATTCCATTAGGAAAATAGAGATCAAGTTGGAATTTACTTCGGTCTTCTTGCTGTTTCATCTTCTACGGAAGAGTGTTTGCCCAAAACCGATTTGAAAAGTGTAACAGTGTCGGACAAGAAGAAGGAAATCTTCCCACCCTTAAATCTGCTATATGTGTTCTTTCTAAATACAACCCTGCATACCTTTCATATTATATATTTTATGTCCTACCATTTTAAGTTCACTGCTTCTGTAGAACTCTATTGTTATTCAAAAAAAACTGCATTACGTTAGACCTAACACGTCGAATATTTTCACATAATACAGCCTACACTGGGTATTTCGGGCGAAAGTAGTTGCAGCACCTACAAACAGACGCTGTGTGCACTTTGAGAAAATCGCAAAAGCAAATTAACGGAACAATGCACGAACGTGCGGCGTGGCAACTTCAATTGTCATTTGCAAACAACGCGAAGAAGTTATAACAATAAGGCGAATTATATATGACAGTCGCCCACATGTGAGCACTGTGCGCACAGCCGGATGCCTTAGAGCCTAACCTCGCCGAGCCTTCCCTCCATCGATGCATTAAATAATTTGCTATTCCTGCTGCGCTTGTATTTGAAAGCGCCAAGTTATGCCAAACGAGTTTCGCTGCACCGCAAATTTCAAGCATAATTCAGACTTAGCATGCAAATCACCAAAGCAAACAAAAGCCAACACGAACACATACACAAGCTCCAACAGTGGTACATCTTCACAGGCACACGCACACACACACATACAGCACATATTAGGGAATGGTGGTTGGTCTGTTAGTGGGTACAGAAACACAATGCCTAAAATATGTTCGCTCTCTGTACCTCTCGGCGGCGCAACTGCGGACTTCTTGTAAAAACTTAATGCTATTGTTTGTTGAACAAAATTTACAGCATACATTGGGGCGTCACATGCGAATAAGTAGCGAAAATAAATGTGCTTTTTAAATGAGAGAACTTTCACAAAAGAAAACGGAGTTCACGAAATTCCAGGTCGTGTAAATATTATCGCTATTGTAAAATATAGTGGTCGAAAATAGTTTGCCTAAAACTATGGTAAGGTGCTTGAAAAGCTACTCGTTTTACCAAACTGCTGGTTTTGGGAATTGTATGACTGTGTATAAGGAAGGGCAAAGTTCGGATGGAACCGAACATATTATACTCTTGCAACTTGCAAGGATCAAAGTAAAGAAAATACCCTCAGTTTAGTGGAAATTTTATATTAAAAAATTTTGCGAAACAATTCAACATTTATTATTCGACAAAATCGCCAATGGATTACAATTAAATTTGTATTTTATTAAATTATATTATAGGTCATATACTCACTTAGTTTTATTACTATATTTTACTTTACTAAACTCAACTAAATTTTGTTGAAATTGATCAATTATTTCCGGTTATGTATAATTTCGCCTAAGTGTGGGCGGTGCCCATCGTCCAGTTTTGATAACGGTTCCTTTAAAACCCCATGGGTCATTCCGGATGTAAAATTTAACTCTGACGCATTTAGTTGGATTTATCGCATTTTTAGTAGTTTCTTACAAAACCGTTATATAGCAAGTGGGCAGGGTTATCATCCAATTTCATCCATATTCACACAGTCGAAGGAAGTGTGCAAAATATGTATTCTGTGCAAGTTTGGGTTATATATCTTGAATGGTTCACTTATGAAAAAATTTTCAACCCTAGATGCCCCTTTCAAATATAATCTTCTGTACCAAATTACATATCTACATATATCTTAAATTACTGCTTAGTTATGGCGTTTTATAAGTTTTCGATTAATGGCGTTTTGTTGGCATGGCAGTGGTCCAATTATATCCATCTGCAATACCAAAATTTTAATGGTGCCATGGAACATGTGTGACAAGACGGATCGACGGACGGCCAAACTGACAGACATCCGGATTTCAACTCGTCTTGTCATCCTGTTCTTTTATATATGTATGTATACGCCTATATCTATCTCGATTAGTTTTAGGTGATACAAACAACTGTTAGGTGAACGAAACTATTATACTCTGTAGCAACATGTTGCAAGAGTATAAAAGAGCTTATTAGGTAAAATTAGATGGAGCAGTAGATGACATACCTCTAATTGATCATATATTGGAATTTGATTATAGGAAAGAACGAGCTATGGATGGATAATTGCATTCGAATAGGCAAAACATTATATGGGTGTCACATTGTATTGAAATTTGCATTGCTTGGCGCCATTTAGTTTTCTTCAACTACCAGACAATGTGTGGCGCTTCCTCGACTACGAAGTCCATGCTTTGTATTTATCTGACAATTGCCAGCCATTTTCATGTACTTTCCGTGCGCACTTAACGCTTGTGAATGCAAGTGTTGGTTTTCATGCCATAAACATTCAAGTGTCATTTGTAGCATACTTTTGGGAGCGTTGCGGGTCTGAGCCGGATGCAAATAAAATACGAAAATTTGCAGGCTCGCGCCAGCACAGCCATTGACAGGCAAGTACTCCGGCACCGGGCAGCAGTGCATCGCTTTTAATTTTATTTTATTCGCACAATTGGCCATTTGTTTGTTGGCTTCGTTGTTTGCTTTTGCCATTGTTAGTGTGCTGAGTTTTTGTGTGCGTCAAGTGCTGCTGACACTATGCTCAACTAAGTTATGGAGCATTTTGTGGTGCAGGGTGGGCACGGCGCGGCACTGTCTGCGCGTGCGTGTGTGCACAATACGCCAACAAAAGCGGTTGCGCCGCATAATGCAATGCAAACAATGCCGCTTAGATGTATAGTCGAGGCAGCGGATGGCTTGAAGGGGGCGGGATAATGTGCGTTTACGCATACATGCCTGCCAATTTATAATAGCTTGTCAGGCGTTTGCGCTTCCGGTTTGTATGCTTGGTTGTCTTGTCGTTGCACAAACTAAGAGTGAAGGGAGACTGTTGGCAGTGTTGTCTCGCATTTTTCTGCATTTTGGGTATGTTTGTGCAGCGGATGCTGCGAAAGCTGTTAATTTTGCGGAAATTAGTTTTCGCTATGCGGTTTCTTCTATTTGCAATGCTTTGAGAATTTTGCGTTTGTCAGCACTTCGCGCTCAATGGCTTATGGGCGCCCTACAGACGGACCGTTAAACCTTAAGTTTCAAAAATTTAATAAATTCATTTTTATTTTATTGTGAATTTTGGTGTGAATACGAACCTAAAGAGATTCTCGCATGTCGGCTGTCATGGTTATTTGCTTTTAGTGAGCATTGAGGTGGATATATTAATAGATCTATTACCTTTTAAGTAGCTCCGAGTCCCATAGATTTTTTAGCATCGGTTGGCTTTTCGCCGCCGGCAATAATCTAGCTTTCGCCCACGAATTCATCTCTGCTTTGTGAATCTGGCATAATAATCTCATTTCCAGTTTTCTTTGGAAAAAGTCTAGCTGTGCACAGCCAAAGTCAGTGCCAATGTTGTGACGCAAATCGTCTGGCAGTCAAAGCAAAAAAATTTACAGCACAAGTTCGAATTGCTGTTACCTATACAAAAGTCTATGCGCCGAAAAGTATGCCAAGTTTGAAGTAAGACAAATTCTCGTTGAAATTACGGCGATGACATGCAGGAAGCCCAAAAGCAGACGAAAGTTAACATCGTGCGTAACCCGCACTTCTCGATAAGGCGGCATTGTAGTGCTAACAATACTAGAGTAATTACAACAACAGCGATAGCGCAGACATAGCCTAACAACAGCAGTCGATGGAACGGAAAATGGCGTGTAAAGGCATGAAGATAATCATTTATTGACCAGACGCCATCCGCCATTGTGCGTTCACTGCCAACTGGGGCGTTCCAGTTGGATTGATGCCTTTGCTGGGTTGCCTGTTTGTCTACCTTGCTAGCACCGGGGTGGGAGTGGAGGTCAGCGCGTTTGACGCGTCACTGTCTGCGTTGGCGTTCGTGCGTATCGAAAATTAATCATATACAAAACAAATATTCATTTGCGCTTACAACTTTAGCAAGAAAATACACCCAATTATGTTGATTTCTTAAAGTTGATATGATTTCGTTTGCTGATTGTTTGGTTGCAATTTTGACTAGACCATCGCATTACTTTTGTTTGCAGATAATGCGCTGAGCTTTTTGGTCTTCGTTGAATAGGTATAACAATAAGAGCTTACATTCGATTAATTTTAATTGCTTTCTGTCCATTATTTATATTAATTTCACTGATTGAATTTTACTTAAATTGCAGTAATTAATCAGAAATATGGTTCAGAAGATAAGCGTGCCCAGACATACGCAAATAACCTACCTTTATCTGAAGCTGGTTTTTGTTGTTGGTTTGCACGTGCAAACAGACGAAATTTACTGAAATTATAAAAAGAATTATTAATATTCAATTTCTGTAGAAACTAGTATTTTTTTATCTCTACAAATAATTAATATACTTGTATAATATATCTTAGCTCGCCATAAATTGGCAAACTTTGCTGCCAAGACTGCTGCAAATTTCGTGAAGATATCTTGTCAAATCAAAATGTTTTCGTCTCAAAGGTTTGATTTTAAGTGATCAGTTTGGTTGGCAAATATATCGTATATTGCTTCGATATCGGCCATTCCTAGAAATGAGTAACTTTTTGGGAAGAAAAGTGAGTTTAAAAAAATTTCGATTGAAACGAGCAGACCTATAGACGTCCAGATCAGCCTAAATTGGTTCAGTTCGCCTTGCTTTCTTCTGGGTATTATAAACTTTGTGGCAAAATTCAGGTGATATAAAAATGAACATATTTGACTCGCACTGATCCTTTTAGACTTTGATATGTGTCATTTTAGTTCCATATGTGGACCGAATCAGCATGTTTCTATACAAGTCTACTGCTTGAGTGCCAAGCAGCACGTGTTTGTTTGGCATTGGCTGTTTTAAAGTATCTTGGAGCATGAATAGATTAATCAGTCTACTGTATTGTTAGTGCAACACGTTGCATGATTACAAAATATGTTATATAACTTTTAATAGAAAGAAGAACCATACGAATAATATATGTATATTATGATCCATGTCTATACATCTCAATTATATATTATATAATACGAAAAATAATGGCATGCTTATTCATATAATTGAAACTAAATTCGTAAATTATGCAACATTCAAATCGGAAGAAGCAAATGCGTAGCTATGTTTGTGAAGAAAAGCCATTAACATGCGTGAAAAGTATGAGTATCAATTTCAGTAATATTGTATTACCATATGTTATCATATGTATACACGTTGTATAACACGCGTGTGCATGCCAACTATCTGGTATGTATCTGGTTGTGTGTGCGTGAGTTGGAAAAATGCCTCTACATTAGCGTGAAAGCGGAATTGTGAAATTAAACAAAGCTGTTAGGCGCCTTCGTTATCACCGCTGCTGCGTTTCCTCTGGCATCCACTTACCAGCCATTCGCTTGAGAAAATCTGTGTTACCACAGAAGCGCCACGCATTCGTGTACACGTGTATTAATATACATTCCGAGTGAAAATTAAGCAAACGACAGCAAAAAAATGCCGAACAAACAATTTTTTGATTGCAATATTCAACTTTTATTTTTGCAATTTTTCATATTTGCCTTGATTCACAGTGCTATTCGTGCATTGTTGTTGCGTCAGAGCAAAAATGGAAATAAATACTCGTGCTACGACAAATAAGTATTTAAAGTATTTTGTAGAACATGCCAAGTACGACGCTTTTGTCGACACATACACACAAATATGTATAGTCGTTGTCCTAGTGGACTGGAAAAAATGAGCGCAAGTTCGGCAGGCGGCTGCATGGATAAATCGCCTGAAGTGCTGCCTTAAATGCGAGACGCAACTGTGTGGAGCACAAGAATGCCTCTTCTGCACTGCTGTCGTGCTGTCCTTGTGGCATATGCGAGAGCCCTGCTGCCTCTGTGACCTTGCTCATGCCTATCTAGGCTGCACGCATATATTATTTGGAACATTTTTCTAGTTAAACAAAATGAAAATAAAAATGTCAGTCTGTGTGTTAAATTGGTTTTAAATTTATACGCTTCAGCTCATATCACTGTGGTGTATTCATGCGTATATAAACCGAGATGAGGCTAGAGTCGAGAAAATAGCTCAAACGGTTATGCGTTCACTGCGAATTATGTAATCAGAATATATTATTTTATTAATTTCTCCGTTTCTTTTAATTTAATATATACATATGTATGTAGACTATGCTCCTCAAGAATCATATGAGTTACTTATGGTAGTTTAAAATTATGTACACTGGGCGCATTTTCGCAATCCCGATTAATGAAATTGGCATATTTTTGGTGAAAGTAATGCGCATTTTTTGTATTTGCGTAAGCATTATTCACAGGAGAAGTTGGCATCCCAAAGGTGTGCTCTTTTTAAATTACATGTTGCAAAATTCCAATGGAAGCATGTGTGGCACAACAAATGTACATTTTTAGAAGGTACACGCACACAGTAGTCGTCGCAGGCTTCAGCATGCATAAACGCTCACAACCGATAAACTTCTCCTGACGCATACACTTTCGGGCTTCGTCTATCATACACTTAAACACATATTCGTTTATTGCATACGTATATGTGTAAGTAGGCGCTTGTGTGTCTACATTACACTGGTTCGTTTATGCCTCAAGGACATGTGTATGATATGTTTGCATTTTTATCAATTCAGTTCAACGATTTGCACCAGTTAGGTAGGCTTGAATGTTGGCGAGTGCAATTTCAACAGTAAATTTACAAGGATCAAAGTTAGTTCATGGAAATTGTGTAGATTTTTAGCATTTACTGTGTGAAATTATCAAGCGAAAGTTGTCGCATGCTACAAAATAAATGTATATATGTATATGTATGTAAATAAGCGAAAAGGGCGTATACGTAACATGTTGCCAAATATTTCCACTATGCTATTGCTGAATTTTATGTATGCGGCCATTAGAAGCTCCTGAAAATATGCTGCCAAATGTCAATATCAAATCATTTATTTATATTTTCAAGTGCCTTTTAAGGCTTATACGGGGATTTGAAAAATAAAACATCGAAATTTGACATTTGCACTTATGAAAATTGGCACTTATGACATAACAACTACAAGCGTGTTGGCGCATTTTCATTGGTCGATGTTATTTCTCCTTTGCGCATCACACTTAACACAGTCGTATACAGAAGTACATTTCGTCGCTGTTCTGTATAAGTCGCAAATACATATCTCGGAAAATTGTGTATCGTTCACGGCGGATTTGTGGTTGTGATTTTTTTCACTTTTAATTGTGTTTTGACTTTGCGTATGTAACATTGAATTCTGTTGCAATTAAATTTTTCACGCATATTAAATTTCAAGTATTGTCTGTGAAAAAAATAGAAAACATTTTGAAGTGGAAATAACCTTTGATGTCATTCGTTTTATTTTCGTGAGTTAGTTTAGATTTTTTCATTAATTTCAAGTGCGTTGTGTGATAGTTAATTTTTTGAAAATTTTCTTTTCAAGGTAAATTTTAATATTTGAATCGAAAATATCAACAACAACAGCGAAATAGAAAGTGATTGAATTTTTTCATGATTGTTTTGCATGCGGTTGGTTTGTTGCAACTTTTAACGAAAATTGAATTGACAACGTTCATTTTATTTTGGTAAGTTAGAAATTTTTAGGTAAATTTCAAGTGCATTGTTTGATAGATAAATTGTTTACCATTTTTTTCCAAGGTTAATGAGTTTGTTGAATCGAATTGAACTTGTTGCATTGAACAATAACTGGAATCGATTGAAGATTGAATACGATCGATTGAAGGATCAACGAGATAAATTGCATCAGAATGTTGAATGTCTCCAGTAGATGATGTGTTCTACGCAATGGCTGATTCCTATGCCGATAACTTTCCGATATCGCCTGAAGAACAAATGTACGCAGCAGGCAACAAGAAAATTTCTTTGTTGAAAATATTTCAAAATGGAGCATCTGTTCGAGACACTTTTTCGTTATTTCATTAAAACAATTCATAAATATTTTATACTAATTATTTTGACTTTCTTTTGCAGGTTCATACGTGGCCACATATTGACGACTATTCAAATTAGCCGAATCCACGAGAATGAATTATAAAACTTAATTTTTTTTTACATTTATTTTTTAAAATCTTTTTCTACAATTTTCTTTAGATTTTGTTCAAACTCTTCAATAAAATTTAAATACTATTAGCATTGAAATTGTATTTTGTAGTTTATTTAAATATGCAACTTCCAGGTTTCCGCAAAATGGGTGTAAACTAAGGAGGTTTCTATTTGCAAGAGAAGTGTTTTGGAAGAACACTTTTCAAAATTAAAAAAAAAAGTGTAAGGCAATTTTTGCCTGAAATTAATAACGTGCATGTTTATGAAGAATGTAGATTGGAAATAAACTTCTTACACAAAATAAGTGTCTCGCAAATGTTTTCAAAACCATAAAAATACTATTTACATATGTTTCGAACGTTCTTCAAGAAATCTATAAAAAGGATTTTTCTCAGCAGATATAGCAGTTATAATTAGGTATATATCAAAAAAGCATTGCCAAACTCACAGCACTTGGTAGCGAATATAACTGAAGTTACGCCAACGCTATTAACGAGTTCAGCAAAAGATGGAGCTGAACATTTTGAAAATTATTCTTTGTAATTTTTGAAACGAAAAAAAACAAAGCACACATACAAAAGCACCATCAGCAAAACACTTTCAAGCGATGTCAACACTGAGCGCACAACAACAGCAACTCCGCTGCAGGGACAGTTTAATAGTACACAGCTTCTAGGCTAGTCAGCTTTCGAACGCCTGTGGCAACCGCCGTTATTTATAACAAACTGAAGTGCTACAACAATAAGAATTAATAGTATTCGTTAATACACCGCCTGGGTGTGATAAATTTTAAGAAAAAATGAGTTGTTGCGCCGTGAGCCATCAATAACAGCTGACAGCTGAGCTGGTGATTGTGTGCTCGAAAATTGCAATAACAACAATGCAATTTGTGCAAGTGCTCGCGGGCGAGTTACAAAAAAATTTCACATGTGCTAACATAACGGAATAACAACATTTTAACAACGACCGGACTGTTAAGCGTGTCGGCAGCGCTCATGCGTTGTTTGCACAACAGGGCCTTAACATGAAGTTGAGCCATTTCAGAATTTTAAGTTGTGTAGTATAAAGGCAAAGTTACAAGTTCATCGCATGCAGTAGAATCGAATGACTGTTGACCGCACTTTGTAGTGATATGATGTAACCAAGTCCTATTTATTGTCAAATTTTGACCCAAAAGCTGATTTTATTATGAGCTGATTTTAGTCTTTGGACTGAAGCTTTCGCATACGCCAATATT